GTTTTGGTCAAGATGTCGGACAAGAGGAGGCAGGAAACAGGTTTTTAGTAGGCATATAGATGGATAAGTCATTGTCATAGCAATGATATATTTGAAGGCTTTTGGGTAAAGGAGAAAGGGTAGAGATGGAGAACAGCCAGGAGTGATGAACAAAGCCTTGTGGACATCAAGTGAAGGAGGGAAAGAAAGCCCACTTACCATGATATTAAAGGAATAATTAGCAAAGTGGGAGGAGAACAATGAGAGGACAGTGCCTCAGAAGCCAGTGGCTGGGTTTGAAGTAGTTGTTGATGGTCTCATAGGCTGCTCTGAGTTTGACCAGGACAAGATCAAGGCCCTTCAAGTGGAACAAAAAAAGTTAATCCAAAATATTGGCATAAGTTTCAGTGAAGTTGGGTCATAGAGGTAGAGAAAACCAGAATGGAGATGCTCAAAAATGGAGTTGGAAGAGAGGAAGTCCAGAAGTGAAGAAAGATGGGCAATAGGTAGAAGGGGAGCAGCTTTGAATAATTGTCTTTGATAATTTTGTTGTTTGTTTGAGACACAGCTTCTTCTAAAATATCCCAAGGCTGCTTAAAGACATAACCCCCTCCCCCAAAAACTGCACTTCAAGCTCGCCGCACCCCTGCCGAGCCCAGCACACGCCCATGAGACGGTGATTGAATCACCTGTTAGATAAAAGTGCCAAACAGCCCTGCTAAAGTGTGAGATCTAAACAGAGACTGCGGAGCTGGGTTGAACTAATGTGCTGCTGCTTCCAGTAAGGCGTGGGTGGGGGGTGGTTTTTTTTTTTCCACATCTCAGCAGCCCAAGTGCCTAAGTTAGGCTTTCATCCTGAGTACTTAGAAACATGTAGCCAGCAAAAATCTTATTTCAGGTGAATGTTTTTTCTTTAAATGCAGTATTTTCATGGTGAAAGATGATGGATGATCCTTCTACTTTAACCTGTAGGAAATGAACGTCGTAATTGAAAAGATTCACGTTGATCTTTGTTTTTATGTAACCAGTAGAACATTAAGGGGGGAGGCGGCGGCGGCGGCAATTAGCAGTTTGTGCATTTCAAATGGAGGGGAGAGAGCCAGGCCCTGCACAGGCTTTTACTGCATGTAGGAAGTAGACAGGTTTGCCACTTGAGCTTTCTTCTCTCTCATTCCCCTTGGTGATTTTCTGCTTTGCCCTTAAATAGTAAAGCCATCCCCAGAATCAATTGGCACACTGTGCAGCCAGTATATGTGGCCTTCTAGTGTTTGAGCAACACTAGAAACCAAGACTGGTGCATACTTCAGTGGGTTAAAGACCTAAAAAAGTAGCTAAATATCAGTAGTCTTGTTGTTAGATTGCTCCAGGATTCAAGTAAAGGATTCACCAGGCCTTATGCTCAAATTTAGTAGCTTGCGTATATTTCCCCCCGCAGTGGTGTAGTTTGTCTGTTTCACATATGTGACTTTTCCCTTTTCTGCTTGTAAAATGGAGCTCATATTTGATGAAGGAACTAAATCTTTAATTCAAGTAAGCAGGCCACTTCCATGCTCTCTTGCTTTTCCAATATGAGAGAGTGAATGCCTCTCTTGAGGACTATGTTATATCTTTCCCGACTAGAAAGTATTTAATTATTAAGCTTCTCTGTCGTTTTCTGTCACCTGGAAAGCTTGTCATTATATCTGTAGTAGACAGGTCATACAGGGTCTAGTTGTTTTAATGTAATAATATACCTAATTCAGGAACTGTAAAATAAGTTACATGTCTCCAGAATTGATATAGCTTGTAGGTAGTATTTGATGAGTTAAGGCTGAGAAAGTTAAAGAAGCAGTGTACACTAGATGTGAAATGAACCCCAAGTCAGGGCAGGGAGGGGAGCATTTAGGTTACTGGACCATAAAGAGCTTCCTATATCAAATAGCAATTGGTTAAGCTGATTAAGGAGTAAAGCTAACAAATACACAATTCCACTCAGAGCTCGGATACCCCATTCACATCCAGTCAGTGCTATTCAAAAACAGTTATGGGCCCAGCCTGCACCACAGCCAAGATTAGGAAGAGGGGAGATGTAAGTGCCCCTTGGTTCCTACTTACCTGCTGCCATGGTGCAAGACAACTTCAGCACTGTCCATGGTTTTGCTCCATAGCTCCAACTACCTGTTGAATTTTTGTCCTCGTTTTGTTTTGGTTGAATCTAGTTTATTTTGTGTGTTTGCTTTTGTTTTTTGACTAATTTGAAAAAAAAAAAAAATTGGGACCCCAGTCTCCTGACCATCTCCCCTTTCACCCACATAGGTGATACACCATCATAGTAGACTCCCAGGTCTACTGCATTGAAAAACTTTCCATCTTCACAAGTCTGCCATCTTTCTATTTAGAGATTCTCTGAGTGGATCTCTATCTGTATCCTAGTAGTAGGAGATTAAAGGCCCCCACCACACATCAGAGTGCATGCCACAACGGCGCATGGAGTTTTCACATATTCCCCTACTTAGTTTTGTAGATCATATACCTGAAGCTTGGTTTACATATTCATCTCCCATTACTCCTTGATATAGATGTCCAGTTTGGTAGACAGAGCTTGTATCTACACTACTGTATTGTACTGTATCTATTAAGGGAAATCACAAGATTAAATGTGTGTTAGTTCCTGAACATTTTTTCCCCAAAAATGTAGTGGTAAAGGTGATGTAGTCTTTTGTTAGACAGAACGGTCTTGAAGTCTCTTCCAAGTGGCACAACTCTCCTACCTCCTGCCAAGACGGCTGTTAGCTAGTCACTGAGTATGGAATTTGCTTTGACAATCACGTGGAGAAATTACTCCATGGTAATTCTGGTTGTCCACAAAGACTTCACAATTTCCACTCTGTCCTTAGTAATCAGAGTCCCTGTATCTGGGATACTTGTTGACATGAACACCTGGTGCCTCCCAAGACTGGGGGGGCACCATGGCAGTGAGCGGGGACCGCCCACAGATGTTGGTGTCATCATCAAGCGGCGAGCGAGGACCGCCCACAGACCCTGGCGGCAGTGTTGGCAGCAGGGGCGTAGGGGGCTGGCGAGCAGGGACCTGCCCGCAGACGCCAGCATGCAAATGTAAATGTTGCATTAACGTTTTACACACCTCGTTAAAAATGAACTAAAAAATGTACTTAAACCTTTTGGGACTTGAGGCACTCCTCCTTAACTTTTGTGACCTGAGTGGCACCCAATTTCAAAACTAATGTATATATTACAGTGCTGCTCTCCTTGCAGAGGACCTGGGCAGTGGGGGTGGGGGATTAGACAGGCAGGGACAAGCCTATGCCTGCACCTATTTGCCTCGCATCTGGTGGCATCCTGGTTAAGAATCACTGCTTTGGAACCTGTTTCTCTATATTGCTGCATTACAGTGAACATCAGGAAGGTGCTTTGCTGCATTACAATGAAGAGCAGAAAGGTGTTTGTTTTTTTTTTAATTCTAGATCAGAGGTGTTGAACCCCTGGCTCACAGGCCATGACCTTCGTGTGTGGGCGCAGTGCAGAGCACAGTGCCAGGGCTGGGCAGGAGCAGTACACACAGACTAGCTCCATGTCGGTCTTCTGACCTGCAGGTCCAAAATTTGAGCAACACCTTTCTAGATGCATCTATAACCATTTTAAGATGTGAAGAGCCTTTAGGAAAAGAAGGGATTGTAAAATATGGTATGAGCAATAACTAATGTTTATGAAGCATCTTGAGATGCTTAAATGAGAATTTATACTAGATACACAGCTGATTATCATTTGTTTTTATTGTCAACTATATTTTTATGAATTTTGTGTCCCTATTAGAAAAACGAAAGTCGTCAACTCACCCAGATTCAGTACATAGCATGGCCAGATCATGGGGTTCCTGATGATTCCAGTGACTTTCTGGATTTTGTGTGTTTAGTACGGAAAAAAAGGGCTGGCAGAGAAGAGCCTGTTGTTGTTCATTGCAGGTATTCATTTTTTTTTCTGGCTTTCTTAAATATCCTAACTGAAATCCTCTTCTCACTGGGTGTTCTCTGTGTTGTATTTTGTTTGTAGTGTCCACTGTTTCCAAAGTCATAGTTCCAAATTTTATATATGTTCTCACTAAAGGAAAGAAAGATGAGGGTACAAAATTTGAATTTGACTGTTGCTGATAATTTTCCAGAGGCTATCTAGTGTTAGCATCAAACACAAGGACAGATTTCTAAAGAAAAAAATCATTTAAACAATTGCATGATAATATTTCTGGATAATATTGTATGTTGTTACCAATGAGGTGGGGGGAGCAAACTACTTCCCCTTTAGGAAATTGCTGTAGTCACTGGGTAAGTGTGCTGCAGGGATCAAAAAGAGCTGGAGAAATCTTACATCCATATGTCTAGCATATATGATCATGTGAAAGGCACATTTTCACTAAAATCTCTAAAATACTGAATATTTTAGTGTACACTTAAGGTTCACGCACTTTTTGTAACAGTTGATTCTTTTGTTATAAATGAAAATAACTTTTCTTTAATTTAGTATCATATGTAAAGCTGAAATAGTTTCATTGCTGCTCTTATTAAATACTTTTAATGGCTGTTAGCATTTTCTCAATTACATTTAAGATCTCCATAAGTAGACTCTTGAGGGTGCTTAACATAAATTGAAGAGACTAATACCTGAAATCCAATTTTGACTTCAAATGAGCATTCACATCCCCTTGACTTCATTGAGAATTGGGCTGTGAACAGGATTTGGGCTTTCATCATCATGGTGTACAGGTAGCATTCTTATTTGTGAGCTAAGATGTGCCCATTTTGTAGAAAGGGAAACTAAGGAAGGGTAAAAGGAGACAGTCAAGTTAGTTTTTATCATTAAATGTTACAGTAAGACTTAAGACTATTGAAAGAAATTGGCAGGGCTGGCAGAAGCAAATAAGAGTTGCACTGGGACACACACACGAGACCTCCCAGAGCCCTTTCTCTTGTCTGATAGCTGCTGTCAGGCTTCGGTGTGAAACAGGAGCAAGTAAGTGGAACTCTTTTCTCCAATGTGGTCACAAGCTCGGCAAGGTGGTAGTATAGATAAAGCCTACGTGAGTCTGCAGACCTTAGACCGTGGAAGAAATAGCTCTGAGATTTGTGAGCTGTCTTATTCACTTCAGAGTGATACCATTCAGCTGTCCAGTGATAATTTAAATGTCAGTACTGATAACTATTTCATGCCTCACGGAAAGGATGAGAGCTGAGACTGCAGAGCTGAACAATTTGTTATTTGTAATGCCTCATTTTGATGACCCAGGTAAGTGGCAGCTGCAAGATAGCCACTACTTGCTCAATCAAAAAGGAGCCCCGTCTGAGGAGCCTAGCAGAGCTTGTGGGCATATTCAAGCCTCGCCACAGGGAGCCAAACTCCACAGATGCAAAGTTAAAAACCATATGCTGTACGCACACATGTTTTTAATACATGTATAATGTACTCAAATTCTGCCTCATTTTGGCAGAGCACTTAGGTAGAACTTGGAAGTATACTCTCACCTCAGATTTTCCCATTTGAGGGAAAATTCAGAGCTGTATTAGAATTGATCTTCTTTTCTTTGCAAAAGGAATCCCCCAAAAATGGCAAGTGGATTTTGCAAACATAATGGAATATGAAATGGTTTTAGTTGTGTATATTTTTAAACTGACTAGATTTTAAGTTAGTCTCTCTCTAAGTAGCTTGCCTCTGGCAATAGTGTGTTGCTAGCAGAACCAGAAGGGGTTAATGGTCATTTTAAAATCTGTACAGCTGAACACTTATTGCTCTTGAGAGAGAACTATATCGGGAGAAACTATCAATATTTATGCTCTTTAAAATTAATGATTTCCCAGTAGATAAAGCTCCTTTTACTTTATTACTCAAAAGCATTCAGATGTGGAAAAAGTGTTAACTTTAATTATAAGGACTTAATCATTCTGTCTTTTAGGATGGAATAGATTTTTTTTCTAGTTTCCTAAAAATTAGTTATAGTGAAAAGTAGATTCAATCTAAATCTCTCATGGTATCTTTTTATTTTGATAGTTGGAATGTAATGCAGATAAATTTTTCACATTAAGAGAAGAGTTAGCCTCTCTTCATTGAGCAGCTTTTCATGCAGTTGTTTATTACATTTGTTCCTAGTAATAAAATTATGTGCAAATCACTAAATGATATGGTAACATTTGATGCCATCTTCTGGACAGAATTAAAGGAACATGTTAAAATTATAAAGGTAAATTAAAGTAAAAATCAAAGTAAAAACTGTTTATGGTTACGTAGATTCTTTATAATGTATATTCATCAAGTGTATAATTTATTTAAGTCGCCTTTCCTTAGATAGAAATATTCTGAAATGTTAATCACTTGAGGTAATTATACTGACATTTAGAAATATAGATTCTAGAACATAGTGGTAAATGAAAAACAGGTTTCCCATCTTTAAAAAAGGGATAGTGTGCATATTTTCTTATGACAGTAGTTTTCAAACTTCCTAAACTCATGCAACTCTTTCATATCACTTCTTCTGCCATGGAGCCCCTTACCCAGTTCTGAGAGCTGACAGGGAGCCCGGCGACCTGCCCCATAGTGGCGGTGCACTGCCTCCCTGCCCGCTCCACGTTAACCCCCAGGCTCTTTGTGGAGCCCTGATCACGGAGCCGCAGGGATCCAGGAAACACGGTTTGAAAAGCACTGTTATATGAAATATCTGAATTTAAATCAAGTTTACCATGCTGAAAAGCAAAACGCTTTTTGCCAGTTTTGGATTCTTTCTGAGATTTCCTAACTGTAATAAATTGTATATATACTGACAAAGTAAACCAGTTCGCTTTTATTTTTTAAGATAAAGGCCATTTTGAATGAGACCTCCAACCATGTTGTCACTTTAAACCCTGTATTTCATAGAATCATTTAACAGTTTTATTACTATGGGTCGCTACTATTTGTTTTACATAGACACATTCCTAGAGCTTTCAAAGTTTACATTAGCTGGATACTCCAAATTACTTTTGAACCAGAGTAAGTGCTTTTTATTTATTGTTCTTCTAAGTAATTGTTATCCTACACATCTGTCTGACACTTCTGAGTTGGAACAATGTGCTAGGGATGAAGAAATGACCCTGAGATGGTGCAGAGTCATTTGGACCCTGAGATGGTGCAGAGTCATTTGGAAGAACTGGATGCCTTTAAGTCGGCAGGCCCGGATGAGCTCCATCCGAGGGTGCTGAAGGCACTGGCCGACATCATTGCAGAGCCACTGGCGGGAATATTTGAAAGCTCGTGGCACACGGGCCAAGTCCCGGAGGACTGGAAAAGGGCCAACGTGGTCCCCATTTTCAAAAAGGGGAGGAAGGAGGACCCGGGCAACTATAGGCCAGTCAGTCTCACCTCCATCCTTGGCAAAGTCTTTGAAAAAATTATCAAGGCTCACATTTGTGAGAGCCCGGCAGGACAAATTATGCTGAGGGGAAACCAGCACGGGTTTGTGTCAGGCAGATCGTGCCTGACCAATCTAGTTTCTTTTTATGACCAGGTTACGAAACACCTGGACACAGGAGGAGGGGTGGATGTCGTATACTTAGACTTCAGGAAGGCCTTCAATACGGTATCCCACCCCATACTGGTGAACAAGTTAAGAGGCTGTGACTTGGATGACTACACAGTCCGGTGGGTGGCGAATTGGCTGGAGGGTCGCACCCAGAGAGTCGTGGTGGATGGGTCGGTTTCGACCTGGAAGGGTGTGGGAAGTGGGGTCCCGCAGGGTTCGGTCCTTGGACCGATACTCTTTAATGTCTTCATCAGTGACTTGGACGAGGGAGTGAAATGTACTCTGTCCAAGTTTGCGGATGACACAAAGCTATGGGGAGATGTGGACACGCCGGAGGGCAGGGAACAGCTGCAAGCAGACCTGGACAGGTTGGACAAGTGGGCAGAAAACAACAGAATGCAGTTCAACAAGGAGAAATGCAAAGTGCTGCACCTAGGGAGGAAAAATGTCCAGCACACCTACAGCCTAGGGAATGACCTGCTGGGTGGCACGGAAGTGGAAAGGGATCTTGGAGTCCTAGTGGACTCCAAGATGAACATGAGTCGGCAGTGTGACGAAGCCATCAAAAAAGCCAATGGCACTTTATCGTGCATCAGCAGATGCATGACGAATAGGTCCAAGGAGGTGATACTTCCCCTCTATCGGGCGCTGGTCAGACCGCAGTTGGAGTACTGCGTGCAATTCTGGGCGCCGCACTTCAAGAGGGATGCAGATAACCTGGAGAGAGTCCAGAGAAGAGCCACTCGTATGGTTAAGGGCCT